AGGTAGGGACTGGGGTGGATATATGCTTCTGGGGGAGGGTGGGGAGGAGCAGATGGAGGCACGAGGATGGGAGGGAAAGCTCATAGGATCTTAGAATGACAGCTGGAAGGAGACTAAGGGAGCCTCCAACCACTGCAGAGAAAGGGAAGGATTTGCCCAAGTCCCACATTGTTCATGGCAGAATGGGCATCGAACCCAGTATTCCTTCCCATCTGGAAGCCTGCCCCCCCCCATTTCCTCAGGAAGCCAGATGTGACCTCAGTGTGTCCCCATCATGTCTCCCCGCTCCAGGTCATCCCAGACTGGAAGGAGCAGGAGTGGGACCCCGAGAAGCCTGATGCCTACGCGGGCATCTTCCACTTCCATTTCTGGCGCTTTGGGGAGTGGGTGGATGTGGTCATCGACGACCGGCTGCCCACCGTCAACAACCAGCTCATCTACTGCCACTCCAACTCCCCAAACGAGTTCTGGTGTGCCCTGGTGGAGAAGGCCTATGCCAAGTAGGTGCCGGCAGGGGCAGGAGGGCAGGTGGCCAGGCCGGGGTGGCACTGCTGCTGGGCTCCACATGGGTTCCTTTAGCCAGGGCTCCCGGCACAGAGAGGGCAGGGGCTGGTGCAAAGTCACACAGCATGCTCAGAGCCCAGGCACCCAGGGCACAGCCAGCTGAGTCTATGCTGGGTGAGGCGGAGGCCTGGACTGAAGGCCCTCTGGGTACCTGGTTGTCAAGTCCCCACAACCAACCCACATCGGGAGGAATAGTTACTCCCACTTACACCAGAGAAGACAGGTCCAGGATGGTTTCCTGCCAGTGGCCGGGGCAGAGCCAGCACCCACATTCGGGTCGGTGGTTCTTCCCCTAAGATCCTCCCTGGAGGCCTTGTTGGGGATGTGGTCTCTGAGTCTGGGCCGGCTGTGGAACCTTCCCTGCTCACCAGCCTCCCTCTTGTCCATCCATCCTTCTACCTAACTGACTGTCCATCCATTCATTCTGTCTTTGCTGCCTACCTCCTCCTGCTCTGTGCCAGACCCTGGGTCCCCAGCCCGGGCATGAGCAAGGGTTTGCTAAGCTGTTGGGGCATAGTGACCTGCCCAGGCCTCTGCAGGACAATGGCAGGCCTGGGGCAGGAGGGCCACCGCTGTGTCCTAGCACCTGGTAGGATGCATATAGTAGATGCTCAATCGTTTTTAAATGAATGCACAGAAACATCATCGGAACCCGGCTGCACTGTTTTTTCAAATAGCATTTCCCGGCCACAGGAGCTCTTCGTAGTCTTTCGTTCAGTGGCTGCTGACTGCTCCAGAGTAGAGGTGCAGCGTTAGTTTTTAAAACCAAATCCCTGTTGTTAGACCATTTGGGTGATTTCTCGTTTTACATTATTACAAATAATGTTACTCATCCAGAATCGATGTGTCAAAAGACACATGAGCTTTTAACGCTTTTGAAAAGAATCGATAGACTTCTGGACAGCTAATTTCTGAAGAGGGGCTGCTAAGTCTAAGGGGCACTTGAGTGATAAGGTGGTGTGGCTCAGTGGGACACATGTTGGCTCTGCTGTGGCTGCTGTGTGACCGGAGCAGTTTGCTTGACCTCTCTGAGTCTCATAATCTCCCCTGTAGTGTGAAGGGTTTAGAGTGGCTGGGGAGCCTGAGCTGGGAATTCTTTCCACGTTGCTCCCCAGGCTGGCGGGCTGTTACCAGGCCCTGGATGGAGGCAACACGGCGGATGCGCTGGTGGACTTCACAGGTGGCGTTTCTGAGCCCATCGACCTCACCGAGGGTGACTTTGCCAATGATGAGGCCAAGAGGAACGCACTCTTTGAGCGCATGCTGAAGGTGCACAGCCGGGGAGGCCTCATCAGTGCCTCCATCAAGGTGAGAACACCGAGCCAGACCCCAGAGGGGGCCCCTCCCCTTTATCGACTCTAGTCGGGTGGGAGGTGGCTGTGGTGTCCCAGGCAGAGCCCCTGCCCAGGTTGGTTCATCAGTCCAGACCCTCCGCCCCATGGGGGAAGGGAGCAGTTGGCGGGTGCAAGCCCCTCCCCAGTGCTGGGCAGCCCAAGCCGCCTGCCCCCGCCCCCTACACTATGAAATACCTTGCCCACACTGTTTGACCAGCACCCTCTTTCCTGGCCCTCTCATATTGGGACGAATGGTGTCTATACATCTGAGGTCCCTCAGTCAGAATTTGGGGCATCACAAACGATGAGGTGACTGGGGGAGGGGAGGGACCCAGCTGCCTGCTGGCACAGGCCTGGGCGCTTCGTCTCATTCCATTGACTGCTCATGCTTCATTGGGAAAGCTGGGACTCAGTGAAGGCAGAATTTGAATCCAGGTTTGGCTGACCCAGGGGTGTGGGGCTGCCATTCTCTCCCCGTTCTGTAGGGGGCGCTGGGCCCCTGGCTCCACCTGCAGCCTGACAGGGCCCTGCCTCCCTGAGCCACCTCACCCTCACCCTCCTCCGCAGGCGGTGACAGCGGCAGACATGGAGGTCCGCCTGGCCTGCGGCCTGGTGAAAGGCCACGCCTATGCCATCACCGACGTGCGCAAGGTGCGCCTGGGCCACGGCCTGCTGGCCTTTTTCAAGTCCGAGAAGCTGGACATGATCCGCCTGCGCAACCCCTGGGGCGAGCGAGAGTGGAACGGGCCGTGGAGCGACACGTGAGGCCTGGGGCGGACCACGGGCGGTGGTGGGGTGGTTTGGTGTGAGGGCTTGGGCGAGGACAGGTGGGCTTCCTGGAGGAGGCTGGTCCAGGGCTGGGTCTTGAAGGATCTGGGAGTTAGATGGCCTTAGGAGACTACTTCAGAGTGGGCACCTGGGGGTGGATTCAGCATGCGCAAAGGCCTGGGGGTGGGGACGTAGAGACCAATCTGGCCAGTGAGGGGGGAGGAAAGCAGGGAGGGAGGCCACCGGGGGTGAGGATGGGGGTGACCGCTCTGTGCTTGGTGAACAGAGACCAGGCCCCCAGTAAAGGAGCCCCTCCATTGAGGGTCTTGCCCCCCCCCCCCCCAGCCTGCAGCTCTGCTCCCTGACCTCCAGGCCCTGCCCACGGTTATCTGTGGAAGTGGGCAGACAGGCGTCTTAGAGGGGGGCTGGGCACACCCCAGGTGCCCACCCACACCCACCCTGATGGAGGCCTGGTGCCCACATCCCTCGTCCTCCTTGCCCTTGCCGGGGGGCCCTGGTGGGGTCCCTCCACTTACCCTCTCCTGTTTCCCGCCCCTGTGCTCGCACCCCAGCTCAGAGGAGTGGCGGAAGGTGAGCAAGAGTGAGCGGGAGAAGATGGGTGTGACTGTGCAGGATGATGGCGAGTTCTGGTGAGTGTGCTCTTGCCCCGGGTGGAGGTTTGGGGCTGAGGGAGGACCTCCCGTGTGCTGGGCAGGGACTCCGAGGGAGGTAGGAGCCAGGGCTCTAGCAAATGCCACACCCTCCACCTGCCGTGTGGCCTTGGACAAGTCACGCCGTCCCTCTGGGCCTGTTTCCTGCTCTGTGAGGTGAGTTGGGCAGCCCTGTCATCTCCTCAGTGCCCTCCACCACCTCAGGGCCCCTAGGCTGCTGGGGCACCAGGCTGTGGCCAGTAGGTGGGGGACCGGCCAGAGGGCAGGGACATGCTGGCAGCCTGCTTGCCCAGAGCGGATAGGGAAGAAGAGAGGCCTCCCAGGGAGGAGCTGCCCCCTAAGCTGAGACTCAGCGAGCAGAGGAGCCATTGTTGGTCAGGGAGAGAGACCCCCACCTCAGGGCCCCTAGGCTGCTGGGGCACCAGGCTGAGGCCCTCAGCAACTCGACCAGGAGGCCAGTAGGTGGGGGACCGGCCAGAGGGCAGGGGCACACTGGCAGCCTGCCTGCCCAGAGCGTATAGGGAAGAAGAGAGGCCTCACAGCGAGGGGGCTGCCTCCTAAGCTGAGACTCGGCGAGCAGAGGAGCTGTTGTTGGTCAGGGAGAGAGACCAGTCCCAGAGGCAAGAGTGCACTTAGATTTTTGGAAGAGTAAGTTTAGAGAGGCACGGGGGTGGGGGAGGGCTGGGAAGATGGCTGCAGCATCACTTAGAGTCCAATGATTCCTGCACTCATTCATCCTGCATCCACTCATCCTGCATCCCCCATCCTGCATCCACCCAGCCTGCATCCACTCAGGAGCTGCCCCCTAAGCTGAGACTCAGCGAGCAGAGGAGCCATTGTTGGTCAGGGAGAGAGACCCGTCCCAGAGGCAAGAGTGCACTTAGATTTTTGGAAGAGTAAGTTTAGGGAGGCACGGGGGTGGGGGTGGGCTGGGAAGATGGTTGCAGCATCACTTAGAGTCCAATGAATCCTGCACTCATTCATCCTGTATCCACCCATCCTGCATCCACCCATCCTGCATCCATCATCCTGCATCCACCATCCTGCATCCACCATCCTGCATCCACCCATCCTGCATCCACCCATCCTGCATCCACCATCCTGCATCCACCCTCCTGCATCCCCCCATCCTGCATCCACCCATCCTGCATCCATCCATCCTGCATCCATCATCCTGCATCCACCCATCCTGCATCCATCCACCCTGCATCCATCATCCTGCATCCACCCATCCTGCATCCATCCACCCTGCATCCATCATCCTGCATCCACCCATCCTGCATCCATTCATCCTGCATCCACACACCCTGCATCCACTCATCCTGTATTCATCCATCCTGCATCCACTCATCCTGCATCCACCCATCCTGCATCCACACAGCCTGCATCCACCCATCCTGCACTCACTCACCTCTGCATCCTTCAGCCTGGATTTAGTCCTGACTGTGTGCCAAACTTAGCGTCACTCTTCAACAGGACCTTTGACTCAGAGACTCAGCCACTTCCTGGAGGGGACCTGGGCAGCCTGTGTGTAGTGGAAGCTGTGAGGGCCCCAGGCAGGCCCAGAGGTAGATGGAGTGACCGTGGTACCCCAGTGAGGACCCCTCCTGCTGGTGTTAGGGGAGCCCCTGCAGGAGGCCCCCCAGGTCCCCTGGTCTGAGTGCCTATGGATGAGATCCACTGCCCAGTCTGGCTCAGGGCTCAGTTGAGTTAAAACATGGTAATAGAAACTCCTCATTAGTGTAAGGGGTTTCTTTCTAAGGCCTTTCTCATACATGTTCACATATGGTGCCTACCTGTGCATGTTCTCATTTGTGCCTACTTGAAGGGGGATGGGCACTTCCCCTCCCCCACCCAGGCTCCTGGAGGTGTGTGCAGCACCCAGTGACCATGGCAACGTCCTGGCCACAGCAGCACGCTTACCAAGGGGTTCCTGCCGCCAGTTAATTCAGGTTCAGGCCCCACAACAGCCGTGGAAGATAATGGATGGGAACATGCTTTATGAACTGTAGAGCTGTCCACATTAGTGATTGATCCTATTAATAACTGTAACGGCCAGCCTTTGCAATTGCCTCTGTCTGCCAGGAGTTGTACAACGTGCTTTTGTTGCCTTAGTCAATTCCTACACTAGCTCTGTGAGGTGGCAGCTGTTGTTCGATCCAGTCCCAAGTTACAAATCGGGAAACTGAGGCCAAAAGAGACGTGAAGGGTCTGTGTGATGCCATGTCCATGCTCACTGTTGTGTGAGTCGCGGTGCAGAGCAGGCAGGGCGAGCAGAGGGTGGGCCGGATGGGGGACCTGCCTGACTCAGCCCCTCGCCACGCCAGGATGACCTTCCAGGACGTGTGCCAATACTTCACCGACATCATCAAGTGCCGCCTGCTCAACACGTCTTACCTGAGCATCCACAAGACCTGGGAGGAGGCCCGGCTGCGCGGGGCCTGGACGCGGCACGAGGACCCGTGGCAGAACCGCAGTGGGGGCTGCATCAACCACAAGGACACCTTCTTCCAGAACCCACAGGTGAGCAAGTGCCAGGGACGCCTGCATCAGCTCGGTAGTCAGTGCGCCCCGCCCCCGCCCGTGGCCTCAGCACACGCATCCCTACAGTGGGGGCTGGATGGCGTGTCTGGGTGGTCGTGTAGACCCCAACCTCGCAATCTGACCCACAGCTGGCAGAACCGAGGGAGAGGCTCTGAGGATGAGGGTCTTGTCCAGAGTTACAGGGACATTTAGAGGCTGAACCGGAGCTCAAACCCCTTATTTCCAAACACACAGTGGGGGAGCTTGGCCAGGCCGCTCCTCCACAGGCACCTCTCCCCTGCAGCCTCCTCTGTCATGCCCCTCCAACTGCTTAGTCCTCGTGCTTGGTGTGTCTTTTGTTTGTTTGTTGGTTGGTTTTTTGGTGCTGAAACCTGGGATCAAAGGTGTGCCTTTATTGAGCACCAACTGCATGCGTCTCCGCACTGAGCATGCGTGATCTCATCAAGTCCTCCACCCCTCATGCACTGTAGGCACTCTAGGCCCATCTTGCAGGTGAGGGACTGAGGCTCAGAGAGGTGATGTGACTTGCCCACGCTCACACAGCTGAGCCTGGCTGTGGGCTGAGCTTCCGGGAGCCGGCGAGCCCATGACCAGCCTGGCCTCACCGGTGTCTCCCCTCCTCGCCGTGCCCGCAGTACATCTTTGATGTCAAGAAGGCAGAAGATGAAGTGCTGATCTCCATCCAGCAGCGGCCTAAGCAGTCCACCCGTCGGGACGGCAAGGGCGAAAACCTGGCCATCGGCTTCGACATCTACAAGGTGAGGTCTGCTCTGGGTGAGGAGAGGGAGGGAGCTGGCGTCGGGGCCGCCTGCACCAGGGGAAGAGCACCTTGGTCACCGACAGCATCCCTGCCACCCTGACCACGTTGGCTGACGCCGGGGGCATGCTGTGGCATCGGCCCTGTTTGCAGGACCCACAGAGGCCCAGCCTGCCTGGGATTGGCTCCCAGGGGGGCACTCAGCCTGATTTCTTCCGGCCCCAGACCCATAGGCCTGGGCTGCTTGGTGGCTGGGGAAGGGGAGGATTTTGGTGGTGGGGCCAGGCTCTGGGAGCCCGCTGCTGCCCCCTCCCTCAGGGCTCTGGGTCCCGCTGAATTGGAGGCTTTGCTGGGCACAGGGAGGCGGCACCCTGAGCAGAGACAGGCAGGCTCACCAGTGGCCACTCCTCCTGGCCCTGGACCCGGGTACCTTCCACATAGGGTGACGCTCAGTGCGTGATGACACTCAGCGTAGAGCCAGACGCCGAGAGCCTAGTGACACCCCGTGGATATGCTGGGCGCGTGGTCTGAGTCGAGTCCCTGGCATTTGACATGCTGGTCATGACACTTTGTTCGTGTCGTTGTGTTGTCCATTCACTGTGTGCTGATGTGCTGTGACTTTGACGTGACGTGTCCGGCCCTCACTGACGTGACTGTAGCTTATCAATGGCACTTATTCCAGCGATGGCTAGCTTGTCCTACTGGCTGGCGATGTCCCTTCATGGACACCGGCTGTGACCTGGGCGGATAGTGATGGCCAGAATCCCCACAGACATTGTTATCGGGGATTCCTCTTGCCCCCGACTCACATCCCATACCATTCAGCCATTTAAAGTGTGCAGTGATGTTGTTGTGTCCATAGAGCTCTGCAACCAGCACCACTTCGATTTTAGAACAATTTCATCACCCCACACCCTTTAGTCACCATCAGCCAGTCCCATGCACCCAGCCCTCCCAGCCCCAGGCAAACACTCGTCTGCTCTGTCTCTGTAGATGTGCCTGTTCTGGGCATTCCATGTGAGTGGTTCTGTTACTCTCTTGCACGGTGGTGAGGGAGAGATGTGAGATGTGGGGTGGGGTGGGGT